CGCCACAACAGGAGCCAGCAGAGCCGGCAGCACCAGCACGAGCAGCAGCAGCAGCAGCAGCATCATCATCAACAATCATCGTCTCTACAGCAACAGCAGCAACAGCAGCAGCAGCAACATCATCAACAATCATCGTCTCTACAGCAACAGCAGCAGCAGCAACAGCATCCTAGTCGTATAAATGCATCGCCACACTCGCACGGTTCCTCATATGGAGGCCGCATAGTGCCGCTGCCACCGCACGGTGTTCCATCGTCATCCTCCTCTGTCGCCATGGCGGCGAATCATTCGCAGCAGCAACAGATGCCACCACCCCCGAGTGGATATCACGTAGGAACGACGCCGTCACCGCATCATGAACCGTCGCCACGTCACGCTACTCCGTCGCCGCATCACGCGACTCCATCGCCACAGCGGCAGTCACCCCACGTGTCCAGCCTGCACAATCCACATGCCTCCCCATCTCCTCATCATACACCCTCGCCGCACAACAGCTTCCAACCACATTCGCCGACTTATCCACCACCACCGCCTCCGCCACCGCCACCGCAGCAGCAACAGCAGCAGCAGTCGTCGGCTTCGTCAAGGTCGACATCACAATCGTACAATCTGCCACCGGTCACTTCGCAACACTATCAAACGAATTACGTGGCGGCGGTTCGTGACGCGGCGATGGGGTTGCCTTACGCACCGCCGCCACCGTCCCAGTCTTCGTACCATTCCTTCCAGAAGAACCCACAACCGGAGTCTCAAGGGAATAACTACTACTCTCAGCCAAGTCGGTCTCACAATCAGTCTTACAGTATGCAGCAGATGCTGGTACCGCAGACGGTATACCCTAATACTCCCGGTAACAACAATCTAGGTAACTATCAGCAAAATGTCAGTAAGCATGCGACGTATAACGGCGCGGATGCTACGAAGAGAGGGGCGATTGACGTTACGACGATACCTTATGGTACGCATCGGTCACCCACGCAGAGGAGTGGTAACACGCATAACCTGCCGCCTATCGCCGCTCTTTCGTCTTATCATTCCAACAGGCGAGAACTATTGGGAAAATCGGCGCAAACAACAGTACGACAACGAATACATTCGACGAATGCAACCAACAAAGTCCCGTCCGTCGTGATGCCGCCTTCGTCTATAACGATACCTCCTCAGAGGCTTGCCGAGTATCCAATGACTCCGGTCTCGGCTATAAACCATGCGATACCGGTGAATGGTAGAACAACCACTGTGACGAACATGACGTACGGTTCGCGATATACTGGCCAACAAAGCTACCCATCATCGACGTATGCCACCACAATAGCGCCCAGTCATCATGGTAACAATTCCGCTAATAGCACTACAGTAACGACTATCAGTAGTCATAGTGGTTCAGGTGGTGCGAGGTCTTCCGTTCCATCGATCCACGCGTATCAGTCTTCCGACGAATCGGATCGGTCAGCGGGATCATCGTCATATCATCAACCACCGACACGAATAACGACTGAGGGCTATGCCTATAAAGAACATCCTTATCAGAATCCAGCGTCATCCGGTAGTAGTCAAGCAACTTCGGTCGCCACTATGGCAAGTTCTCCGTCGCCGAGTAATGCAGTTCGGAAGAGGGAATCTCCTCTGGACTTGTCTGTAAAAACAGTTAAGACATCGGCTGATTCTACGGCGCAGGATGATCTTGAGACTGTCAGCATCGATAAACATGTCAGTAGCTCAAATCTGAGTACATCTAGGAACAATGTGAACAGGCCGATGCCACCTCCGGCTGTCATGCATCAATCGGCACCAGTACAACCGTCATACGCGTCGTCGTATGATAGGCCTTCGAGTAACAGTTCGAGAAATTCCATGCAAGTGACCTGCGTTCGGGCATCGACGCCTCAAACGGTGTGTGCGCCCAAAGTCGACTTTCTGCCAGATTTTACTTCGACGCCGCTACGTCAGCCGCACCACGACAGTTCTCTTCGCAGAAGTACTCCGCAGCATCCGCAACAGCTTTACGTTCCATCCGCCCAGTCTCTCTCATCCCATCACACCAACACCTCTCCACTGCCTCATATGTCCACGTTCAAGAAACGTCCACTGCCCACGTCGCCGTACGACGGTCTGACGATACCACCGCCACCGTCATCCTCATCATCATCGACGTCTGCGTCTTCATCGTACCTCCAAACAAATGATTCTGTATCCTCGAGGTTTTCCAAGTATCACTCGATGATGGATTCATCTCCGCGACTTGGTCCGCCCACATTGCCCGCACAAGATTACCCACCCGACTCGAGCTATTATTTAGCGGACAGTAGGGCAAAGTTCGATCAGCAATTTCCTCAGCGCGAACGGTCACTCAAAAGAACTGGAGAGGCAATTTATAGTATAGGGAATCCTAACAAACAGTCCAGAGCTGCTTGGCGAGTACCGAGTACTGATAAACAAATTATTGAGTCGAAACTATCGACTACAGGTGCGCAGAACGAACAACAAAAACGGCAAGAGATGAATTTGTCGGTTCCTCTGCCAAATGGAGCTTTGACGACATCATCTGGCGATCATAGAACCGACAATGGTAGTTATTCGACGCCAGAATCCAGATATCAATCGATATACTGTGATAAAAGGACCTATCCGGAGTCCAAAATCATACGCAGTTCGTCGTCATCGTACAATCATCCAGTTATTTCGAAATCCGCGAGTGTACATCCATTACCGCAACAATTGAGCAGTGCACAACTTACCTACCCAAATTATCGCCAGTCAATTCAGAAGATGGCATGTCCCTCGAGCGGGATGTCCAGTGGCCAATCGATAGATCAACCTAGCAATACTGGTGCCGACAAGAGGGTGCTCAACCTGCTGAGGAACAGCTTGGAAAACAAGCAACAAAGGGATGAACAGCTCAATAGTCAGCAGCCTATTTTGGTTAATCACAGTCAACAGAGCTTCCAGAATAAGGTAAGAAATTGCAAGTTTTTTTTTGTTATCGATAACTCACCAATCTTTGCGCATAAAATCAAAATATCAAATAATGTGAATTGTAGCTGGAAATAAAACATACGACGATTTCACTTAGTATTTCTATTTATGTCTTTGTCTGATTTCCAGACGCTCGACGTCTATATGACGTCTTTCTGATAATTTCCGTGAAATTCCCTCAGGTCGTCGCACCAGTCGAGCCCAAGAGCATCGGCAGGCACAATCTGTCACCATTCACGGCGGCGAGTTTGCTCGAGCGTAACAGCAACACACCGCCACATTACAAGTTGCACGTTCCACGAGCAATAGACTCGATCACTCAGGAAGTGCCACGTAGCATGTATGCCTCAAGAGTGAACGCATCTGCCACGCTACCCGGCAAGGAAGCCTCCCTCGCGGGACCACGTGGCGCCGAGAACCAAATCCATCGTGACAAGGACGACGGTCTTGCCGCTATCTTAGCTGCGAAGATCAGGACGAAGGCGGAACTGAAACAAGTGAGTGGTTGTCTCTACTTAATTTTAATTGATTTGCACAATTATGTTAATTATACCGATTTCATAATTTATTACCTTTCATTTAGGTCGGGACCGGCCAATTTACAACGAAAACATCTTCCATACCTCCTCAAGATGTGTCATCGACGCCGAGAGGTAATTTAGTGTTATCTAGCGTAAAAGATTAGTAGTTAAATATTATAGATATTATTTTAATGATATTTTCATGTCAATTTGATCTATTCGTTTCGTCTCGATCATAGTTTGCATAATAATTGTGCTGTTTATTCAATTAGTCGATTGTGCTACAATTAATATTATCTTTGAGGTATGCATATAATTTTTATATTATGCACACAGAAATCGATAGTGCGGCTTCGACGTCGACACCACAGTCTGGTTCGTCCGCAGGTAGCCCACCGAAATTAACACGCGAGAAAACGGTCTCTTTGCCGCCCAGAAGACGTTTGTTTTCGAGAACCGATGAGGAAAACGTACCGGTAACCGTGCCTGTTGCCGCCACGGTCGCGTCCACAGTCCCGGCTAGAGCGAGCGGATGTAGGAGTTCTTCCGAAACATCAGTCTTTGATTTCCGGGAGAGTGACTCCGAAAGCGAGATGCCAGTTCTCGAGCGACAAACCTTGGAGGAAATGAGAAGAGATAGAAAGCAGTTATCCAAAGTGCAACCTCCGATACCTCTCAATGATGCTGTATGTATGAATATGGCATCTTCTACGGATCTCGTGAAGATAGAGCTAAAGGTAAAGTACAGTGCAGGAATGGATAAAAAGAAATTTAAAATGAAGAAGGATATAAACGAATTATTCTATTTATGTGACTGAAATTTGAGAGATTTTTAGTTAGTAATAATTGATTTCATTCGTGTCAGTAACACATTAACTGTTCTTTCTCCTTCACGAATAATTTTTCTTTAATACATACAATATATATATATATATATATATATATATATATATATATATATATATATATATATTGTATGTATTAAAGAAAAATTATTCGTGAAGGAGAAAGAACAGTTAATGTGTTACTGACACGAATGAAATCAATTATTACTAACTAAAAATCTCTCAAATTTCAGTCACATAAATAGAATAATTCGTTTATATCCTTCTTCATTTTAAATTTCTTTTTATCCATTCCTGCACTGTACTTTACCTTTAGCTCTATCTTCACGAGATCCGTAGAAGATGCCATATTCATAACTACAG